GTAAGTATATGTATCGAGAGGATCGAAAGGACATAATTTAACTTATTAAAGTCTTAATACACTTAGTCAGATATCACATGGATTAAAATAATAGAGAAACCAAAAGTACTATATTGACCCTTAGTTGAATAACCTAAATGTCATTCTAGTGAAACATCTGATCAGTGTATATAAGTTAAATTCAAAGAGTTGGAAAATATATACTTACCAAATCCATCAACAAGCAAAGTGTACTCATATATCAAGTCCATACACAAGTATGGGATATTTCTATCTTGAGTTTTTGGGAATACAGATTTTATGTCTGCCACATTTGTTTGGCAAGCAACTTTAGCTGCATTTAAGTATTGAATTGGCTTTGCTAGAGCAGATGGAAATTTGGTGTCAACAATGCCAACCTACAATGCAAAATTCAACACCAAAAAATGATGATACATATATACCAAAGTAATATAAATATTATAACAATTGACAACTACTACTAGACACTTATTGGTACATGATTAGGTGTCAAGCTCGTGCCGTAAAGTGTTGTGGTTAAGCCCTATAATGAGTGCGACCATAATTTTTCATTGTCATTATTGAGTTTGAAACTATATATAAATTATCGGTGATAAGTCGGAAAAAGGTTAATTAGATAGTAACAAACCCTTATAGTATTGTCTACATCCGATCATCAAGTCGTATAAAATAGCTCATCATAGCCACTATAGCGACCCCTGCCCCAACTCTAAATGATAAGTATACCCTCCACCAACTTCCTTTATCACCAAATTTGATTAATTATTATCAAGAAAATTCTTCTTTTCATTCCTAACATGCACTACTTAATTTCAAGTGAAAAACTTGAAATTAGCTACGAACTTTGTTGCTAGTTCATCGTGCTTGTAGCTAAGGCTAATCCGTTGCTGCTAAATAGAATTAGCGACAAATTAGGCTATTTAATTAGCCACAAAATTTATCCGCCGCTAGATTCAATTCTTTTTTAGTATAGTAACATTTTTCTAAATTGTTGCATATATATAAAAATTAATTTTACCTGAGCACCAATATCATAAAAAAATGATGAAGCATGAATATTTTTTTGTCCATCACCACCACCACCATTCCACACTCCATTGAAGGTGCATTCTTCATTCTTGCATTTTGTATTTACTTTAAGTGCATGTCTAGTTAACCTCCTGCATCTCTTCCAACTACTACCTTTCTTTGGTGCTTTTACTTTGTAGTCCACTCCTCCATATGAGTAATACCCTAGAAGAAAAAAAAAATGATTTCTAGAATAAGCAGTTACGTGTTTAGATTAAAAAAAAAGTACTGATGAAACTGATAATAGATCATTTTACAATTAAAAAAATATAATCAGGATTGATCAACTTATAACTTTTGATTCATGATTTGATTTTAAAATCATAGATAAGTTTAAAATTATTTATAGGCTAGCTATAGAGCTAGTTTAATCAGTTTATAAGTTTGACCAAACACCCTACATATAGAGATACTTAAGTATTGTTAAGGTATATATAAATTTAAGTTATATACATTAACAGTTAACATCATAAGATTTTTTACACGATCAATATGGTTTAGCTTATTATTGTAGCATAACTATTTCTCGTATTATTATAACTGTTTCGGACAAAATATAATTTGTGGTGAAGATTAGTAATTAATTAGAATTTATAAGAGATTATAGGTATGTTTATATACCATCATATCCTTCCAAAGCACAAGGATTACTTTCATTTCTTGAAGCCTTGAAAATCTCAGCTCGACCTGCTAATTGCCCATAGTTTAAATAACTGCATATATACATTAAAAATACATAATCAATATATTATAATTATTAAATACACTAAAATCTTAATTATTGAATTATTGTAAGTTGCACTTTTCCCTTTAATATATGATCTTATGTGACATGAATCTAGATTAGTCGAGACTTCAAAGCAATTTAGGCTGAGCTAGACTTTTTAGTTTATTGGTTCTAGACCATAATTCTTTTTACTTACACTATTTCAAAAATAATCTTTAACACTTGATTGCCACTAAATACATTTTTTAAAGACAAGTAATACTCTTTGTAAATGTCCCTAAAGTCTATAACGACATAGATTCAGTAACATGAATTAACTAATGTCGGTAAAAAATTTAACACTCTTTGTTTATGTGCATATTTCTTATATATACCGCTATTTTTTTAGTGTTACTTGGTTCTGAATAGGTTATTTTTACATATTAAACCAAAATAACCATAATTGTTCTGTCCCTGCAAAGCGAACATTATACGTGTATACAGATCGAGTTTGAGCTAAAGTTAGTTAGTTCTCATGTCAAACTCGTACCCTTGCAAAGTGAGTACCAGATATCGAGTGAAATAGAAAAGGAGGAGAAAACAAACCTATGTACGTAGAGATTATAATCTTTTGACATAAGATGTTTTTGTTGAACATAAGGTTCTCCATCCTCATTTTTAGGAGCTTTTGCAAATTGTTCATTTGATATAGCATATGCCATTTGGACTGAACCACCACCAAGATCAATTGTTGCTGTTGTACTTTTATAATCTTTGCCCAAATTTCCCAATAAATAATTTATTGCAGCCTATTAATAAATAAAATATCAAATAACCAAAATTAGAAAGAAACTAAAAAGGATTTTTAAACTTATAATAGCTGATTTAAATAAAAAGATTTGCTAATTAGTTGAGATCTTTTACTTACCCTACACTATGATATTTTATGTTTACTTTTTAAAGATCAATTTATATGAGAGTTGCATGTAATTATTATATTATATTATTTAATATTCTCATGGCCTTTGGGTATATACAAAGAGACTCACATTAAAAAGTCAACCGTCTTTACACAAATAACCTATCAGATTCACTATTTATTTTGGGTGAAAAATATACATAGATTATACACTTTTAATATATGAGTTATATAATACTGTTAATTATTTTTAATTTAAAGAGTTAGATGAACGACTTACCCACATATAAGAGCCTTCTTGAGTTCCATCAAGAATAGTGACCCATTGATCTTTGCTATGGAAAGTGCTTTGATTCTTCACTAAATTTCTCACCTTTTAAAATTGAAAAATAACAACAAAAAAGAATTAATTAATAAAGTAGTAAAAGGAGGATTAATTATTTTTTAAAATAATAAAAGTATTTTTTCTTCAAGTTAATAATATACTGCTTGTAGAATTTTTTCAGCTGCATCCCCTTTTAACATCCTAAGACCTGCTGTTGCCTGTAATCATTTAAATAATTCACACAAGAAAACAATAATTAAAAGATTAATCAAAAGTCTCATTTATCATAAACAATTCTAAATGATAAAGTAACAATACTAAAATTTGCATAATTATTTTCTATATTATAATAAAGTACTTCTTTCTTTTAATCTCATCCGGTGTACGTTCAGACCTGCATTGAAGCCTGACTAAACCTGAATTCTTACCAAAAATCTCATATAAAAAGGAACTCGAATCCAATTATATACTTCTATTATATGATAATACAATTGTATATTATGTTAATAGGATTTAACCTATATTGTGATCATTGACAGTGTAAAGATTTTTCATACTATAAATGTAATTTTACTTATTGTCACAAGTTGCTTGATCTATCTTTCTTCATATTATTAGTTTCACTTGTTATGAACAATTATATATAGGTAATTATTTTCGTAGAATTTTTTATTGTTATCTCTTTTTATGATAATTATTTAATATATGACCTTTTTCGCGTTTTAAATGATCTGATTATGTAAAATATATATATACTAACCCCAAGTTCTAAAGGTGTTTCAGATTGCAATTCTTGTGGAACAACTCCTTCAGCTCCATCTAAAAGTGGCTCAAGTGAATTGGCTGCAGCCTTTGGATCTTCTGCATATGAACTTAAACCTGGCTCTGTCTATAAAATCAAGATAAAATTAATTAAATTAAATATTATATAAGATTTTAAAAGAGGGGGTGGGGGTGGGGGGCGGTCTGAATTTTAAAAAATACATTTTACTATATTTAAATTGAATCGGTAATTAGATCTCTAGCTCTCAATGATCAAGTCCAAGGACAGATCTAGGTAGGGTTTAGGAGTTTCATTCGAACCCCATACGATTAAAAATTACACTATATATACAAGTTAAATTTATTATTTGACTCCTTCATATATTTACTTTTCATAAATTAAACCATCTAAGTAATAATCCCGACTCTTCCACTAATCGAGTCCACCAGTTACCACTAGTTCTCGATTTGACTTATATACACAAACAATGTAAAAAACTTTTAAGCGATATAGCATGATCTTACCTAAAAGATGAATAATATATAAGTGGAACTAACTTCATAATGAATAATAAATAAACCACTATAGACAACAAGTTATAAATTACACCGTACTGATAGTATAAAAAATATTTACACGTATGATATATATAATTTAAATTCGAAAATTTATTTCTAACTCATTCAAAACTAACAAACGCGTATTTTACGCCACAATAAAATATAGTATTGTAAAAAAAAAAATACATACATACCGCCATAAAATACTCAATATTGTTGCCAATAGGAAGAAGTCCTAATTTTTCATCAAATCGAAAAACATGAACTCTACTTCCAGTACTTCCAGCATCAAATATTACTGCATAATGTTCTGATTCATGACTTAATAAATGTCTTCTTAATGGAATTTGAGCATCCACATTTTTGGATAATAAACTTAGGGGCAAAACCAAAAATATTGCCAAAATTGTGAAAATAAAATGACTATTTTGGTTCAACATTTTGCCCCTATTTGAAGAGATTTCTGCATGAAAAAATAAATAAACAAGTTATATAAATATATAAAAATCTATGTATTTTTTATGGTATAATAATATTAATAGAATCAGATTACTTAAAAGGTAATTCCAGGTTGTTGTCTTAAATAAGTATTAATTGATGTGAAATTCTCCATGTTATCAATATTTAAATTAAAGACATGATACACATATATGTATAGACTATCAGAAAATCAATAATTTTGAACGTCCAGTCAAAATTCATGCTCTAATAAAAAAAAATTGGAAAATGTTTCGACGAACTAATTTTTTTACGGAAACTGGTGGAACATAGCAAATACTTTATAAAATAAGTTTAAGTGTGCATAAACTGACTCAAACATTATAATAATAATAAAAAATATCTGAAAAGAGAGAGGGGAGAGGGATGCCTTTATATGCTTTTGGGAGTGAAGGTGATGAAGCAAATGGTTCATCTTGTCCTCTCTTATATAGCCTCATTTCATATATATTGTAAATTATAAATATAAAAACCCAAAGAAAAGTCGTTACTCATGGAACATGTGATACTACTACTATCTTTGTTCCGTATTAGATGAACATTTTTTATTTTATACGATAACTAAGAAATCATTAATAAATTGATATTTTTTAATAGGAAAAATTCTTTTGGCCAGAATGGTATTTTACCTATGTTATTTTATCTTTTTGAACATTTTTACCATTTTAACTTTAATACACTTTAACTAAAAGATGAAAAAAATCAGTTTATTTTAAAATAAAAAAGATATTATAATTTTTAAAAATTTATGGCCAAATTCTGGCCAACTTTTCTGGCCATTTAGCATTATCCTTTTTAATATTGTGCCCTTTGTTCATATTAATTAGTTTGTTGAAAAAATAAATTTTGAATTTACAAAATTTGTTTAAACTTCCAAAGACCATATTAATTATAGGGGTAAAATGAGAAAAAATAATTAATTATATCCTAATTTAGTAAGTGATCAAGTAATATGAAACGTATATTTTTAGTAAGATGTCAATCTAATAAGAGACGGGGGAGTACTATTATCCAATTAAATATAATATAATGATTTGATGTACCAATTATGAAGATTATTATATTATTTTTATAGTATAATTGATTTTGTCATTTTTCAATTATAAGATCAAACCTTTCATTTTCTATCTATTAATATAAGTGAAAATTACAAAAGTATACTATTTAAGACTTTAACTAACAATATATACACATACTTATATTTAATTACAAATGAAGTTTCTAAATTACAGACATAACATATTTAATTAATTTTTGTTTTAAATTATTATTTATTTTCGATTTTAGTATATCATTTTTTGGGGATTCTGTGCCTATTTTTGGGGAATGAAAAGATTAATATATTATTTTTATAATATAATTGATTTGCCATTTTTCAATTATAAGATCAAAGCTTTCATTTTCTATCTATTAAAGAAACACATATTGTCTTAAATTAATTATTGCATTAGTGACTACTGCCTTTCATATTAAATATCGCTAATGATATGATTTTTGTGTTGTTTTCTTTATTAGATTCACAAAAATTAGTTGAATCAAAATTCATGCTCTAACGAAAAAGGTTTGGAAAATATTTCGACGAACTATCTTTTTTACGGAAACTGGTGGAACATAGCAAATACTTTATAAAATAAGTTAAAGTGTGCATAAACTGAATCAAACATCGTAATAATAATAATAATAATAATAATAATAATAATAATAATAATAATAATAATAATAATAATAATAATAATAATAATAATATCTTAAAAGAGAAAGAGAGGGAGGAGAGGGATGCCTTTATATGTTTGTGGGGGTGAAGGTGATGAACCAAATGGTTCATCTTGTGCGCTCTTATATAGTCTCATTTCATATATATATATATATATAAATATAAATATTATTACTATCTGTTCCGTATTAGATAGACACTTTCTATTTTACACGATAATTAAGAAATCATTAATAAATTGATCAATTTTTACTATTATTCCCATTGTTTATATTAATTAATTTGTTGAAAAAATAAATTTTGAATTTTCAAAATTTGTTTAAACTTTCCAAGACCATATTAATTATAGGGGTAAAATGAAAAAAGAATTAATTAATTCTATCCTAATTTAGTAAGATGTCAATCTAATATAAGACGGGGGAGTGCTATTATCCAATTAAATATAATATAATGATTTGATGTACTACCAATTATGAAGATTGTTATATTATTTTTATTAATAAAATTGATTTGTCATTTTTCAATTATAAGATCAAAGCTTTCATTTTCTATCTATTAAAGAAACACACACTGTCTTCAATTATTGCATTAGTGACTACTGCCTTTCATATTAAACTAGATCAGTGATGGCCCATGCTAAGCACGGGCCCAATATTCTTGAATTTTGATCCAACAATTAATATAACAACATTACTATTACTAATAAAAATGTTAACAATTGTCATCACTAAGTTCAAACAATAGAAAGAAAAAAAAAGTGAACATAACTATTCCTCCTAAATCAGCAATATAGAAAAGGGAAAGTGCTGAGAACTATTCTGAGATACACAACACACACACAGGCATAACAGTGCAGCATTTGCTTACAGAGAAAATAAAAATAGGTCTTTTTTATAGTATCAATGTTTACAAGTCTAATGTGATAAATCAAGTGAGCATCTTTTCTGATACATCTAGAAAGAAAGAAATCTGATCTTAAAGGTAATTTAGAGTCGTCATGAAATTACATAGACCTTCAGCTCTGGTTTCTCCTTCATTTTCCTTTTTGTTTCCTTTGAGCCATGAAGTTAGGCAGGGCAACTCCAATCTGTTCCAAAACTTTCTTCAACATTGTTATATAATACTACAAATAGGGCTAGAGCTTTTAGGCGAATTGAATATATCTAGTATGAATCAGGTCTAAATGAGTAGCATATGTATGAAAAGTTGGAGCAAAAAATTAAACCCCATAATATAGAAAAAGAGATAACCTTTGAGTTTGCTGATAAGCAAAGATTCCAGTAACCCAAACACACAAAAAATCAAAATCAAGCAAAAACTAATAACTAATGACAATACCCTTTCCACCTCAAGCTTCTTGATATCATCATTATCTCCAAAATAAGTGGAAATTCAAATATTTCATATGAAACTCTTACAATTTCGGCACACATATAACTTGGAACAAAAATAAAACACAACTTTATTTCATTTACAATCAATGCCTATATTTCATTCCTCTGATGAACAGATAGAGGACTGGAGGTACTTGCTGAAAGGAAAGATATAACAAAACTCAATCTACTATCAGTATCATGCATCATCTGGAAGGCAAACATTTAACTCTGATATTACAAAAGAGCATAATAAATGAAAGAGATAGAAAGACAGAAAGGAATAGGAATATGCAAAATTCAAAAATAAATAAATTTCTTACCTCTTCAGTGTCTCGTAATCATCTATATCTCTTATTTGCTCTTGGTTATACAAAGTACCATGGTCCAAAGACGCTGCAAATCAGTTGTATGGTCATGCCGTCATGGTAATCATATCCGTAGATGTCGTGTTGAACAAAATGTTTGTGGTTAGGGTACTTTAAAAGCTTTTTTCATTGCTAGTAACTTTCTGAATATGAAGCTTTAAACACATTACAACCATATCTCATAATACATGAATCACAACCAATAAACAAAACAAACAAACCAAATTTAAGTATCGTTTGGGTTTGTGAAAATTTTCTTCGTTTATCATATGTATGCTGGGAAAAGCAGCTGACATGATAATACGAAATGAACATGAGTTCATACATCACAAAATGTGAAGATCAATAATACCATTCTAACACTAAAATTCAAGTAACAGTAAGAAAAAATCCAAATAATTCATGAATCGTGTCTTGAAAGTTTTGAAATAATAAATCTAATGATTTATCCTCTGCACATTTTCTGCATTTTTGCTTAAGAGGTGATAAGTTTTCTCATAACCTAAACAATAGGTCCACTAATTTGAGTATACTTTCAAATTCACCTCTCTACTTGATCCTTTTCAGCTTCTTCCTTCGAAAATTTGTTTTTTCAAGATGAAGCTTCCTTTAGCCGCAAGAGGTAGTGTTAAATTAGGTGTTAGGCCTAACTCACACCCCAAAAGCTAACTCAAAGGGAGGAGGATTGCCCAAACCTTATAAGAAGTTCACCCATCTCATTAACCATCGATATGGGACTTTTGTCATGCTTTAACACCCCACCTCACGTGCTTAGCATCTGGTGCGTGAGCAATTTTGATTTTTGGGAGCCCCAACATCGGGTGAGATGGGCCCTGCTCTGATACCATGTTAAATTAGGTGTTAGGCCTAACTCACACCCCAAAAGCTAGCTCAAAGGGAGGAGGATTGTCCAAGCCTTATAAGGAGTCCACCCATCTCATTAACCACCGATGTGGGACTTTTGTCATTCTTTAACAGTTAAATTAGGTCTTTAAGCCTAACTCACACCCCAAAAGCTAGCTCAAAGGGAGGAGGATTGTCCAAGCCTTATAAGGAGTCCACCCATCTCATTAACCACCGATGTGGACTTTTGCCATTCTTTAACAGGTAGGTAACTGATGGTAGGTGTAGAAATGGTGTACTATATCTGATTTGTGCCTCCTCTTTGACAAAAAGTCAGCAGTACAGTTTGTAGAAAAATCAACAATACACTCGCCTCAATTAGGAACATGAAGTAGAAAATTGATTAGGATAAGAAAATTCAACATTAAACTAATCTCCATTAGAAACATTCAATTAGAAAATTTCATGATAAACTAACCAAAAATCAAAAATCACTCAAAAATTGGAATTAAAATTGACAACAGATCTACCTCCAACAGAGACGAAATCAGGGGAAGGGATAAGAATACCAAAATCTGTAAAATCAAAACAAAAGAGTGAGAAGATTAAGAAAACTAAAAACTTATAAAAAGAAAAGCAGAGATTTTACCATAAATATTTTCTTGAAAGAGGCAAGATAATTGAGAGCTCTAATTTCCTGATATCAGCCTGAAGCAATATCAATTGCTCACACGTGGAATAAAAGAGCCTCCAAGTGTTAATACCCAATCAAATTGGGCCACAAAGGGCCAAAAATTATGAGGCCTCACAATACAATTTGAAATGTCTTTGGTTACCGTACAATTTGCTGTGTTCGTCCTAGCACAACTCCCACTTCTAAAAAGGTATAATATAAAATAAAATAAAAAATGTTATAATGCTCAATATTGTTCTAATTTGCACCAGGTCGCTAAAACAAATAAAAATGAAGTAGCTCTCTTTGGTCTAAATCAGTTTTGCAAGCTCTCATTTTAATAATTAATAGTGTCGTGATACAGTAACATGTTTATAATAGGCAGATATAATGTTCTGAATTAGGATTTAGTTTTCTCTTCCACGAAGACGTAAATTAAGTACCACGAAGTTGATGATAAACTTATTTGAATCTCGAAATTTGAAATGTTCCACATATATCCAGGCTTCTTCTTTACTTGCTTAGCTTGAAGATACATGGGGAAATTCGATTATAAAATTAAACATATGCATAAACTTCGACGAAAAAAATTGAAAGTGGAAAGAACCCGTAAATCAAACACATACAAATATGTATGTAGAAAATCCAAGTATCCAAACGAACCGAAAGCTGATACAAATGTCCATCAAATTCCATTAGCAATACCTGCATGCATTAATTAAACAATGAAGAAAGAAGAATTCATCAGAATTGAGGCAAATAAGAAATAAAATCACGAGTTAAATAAATCCCAAAAATATAATTAGGCAAAAATGTAAGATCGATTGTAATTTCATTGCAACCCTCTCATTCCTTACCTCACAATATGTTAACTCCAAAATAATTTATGTGCACTAGTAGAACTTTCAATCCCTTAAGTCATCTACAAAATATATGATGATTGAATGAATTCTTAGAAACCCAACTTGAAAAATTAGGTTAAAGTGAAATAAATTTCTTTAGGAGTTATATTTATTTCATTATAAAAAAAGAATAAAACAAAGAGAGAATAAAAGGGAAGAATGAAGAGTATAAAAAGAAGAAGATAACAAGATACAGAGAGGGAGAAACTGAGGGAGAAAAGAAGAAAAGTAATTATAAATTGGAAAAAGGAAGGTACACGTGGGTTGTTGTATGGATAGAAAGGACACGTATAATAGACGTGTCTATTTGTTAATGTGCCACAATTAATTTTATAGTACTATTTGGAATGCATTTTGTACAATTTTATTGTGCGGTGTTCGTCCCAACAAAGTCTCATTTCTAAATATGGAGAATATTGCTAATGATATGATTTTTGTGTTGTTTTCTTTATTAGATTTCCAAAAATTAGTTGAACATATATACATATTGTTAAATAAACATTTTATTACCAATTAAAAGGTTATTCAAAACTCAAAGCAAAATTGAGTTTACTTAGTTATATTTTAGTATCACATGAGAAAGGCATAACTTTTATTTAATTTGCAATGCAATAATTATCATCCATTCCACCTACCACTTTGAAAATTTTAAATAATTAAATAATCTGGAAAGCTTTATTATGTACTTTCTTTTTAATCTTTAAATAGTTTGAGAAAAAAAAATTCAATAATTAAGGGTGGGACCCATATGATCTTTCATGCTTAATTAGATATTTTTAGTTCAAGCTCTAATATTAAAAAGTCCTAGTAGAAAGTATTTCGAATTCCCTCTTAAATGGACCTTAAGTGATGTGAATTCAGATTAGTCAGACTACACAATTTTGGAGGTTGGAAAAGAAATTAAATATAAGCTCAAAGCCCTCAAGTTTCCCACCAATACAAGTACAAGATTTAAAAAAAAACACAAAGCAAAGGGCTTGCCATTATTGTTACATTAATTGACACAACAATAACATTAAGATGATGAAACTCTAATCTTGTTTGAAGTTGAAGAAACTAAGTCAATAGCACATCCCAATGGCCATGCTGCTTTAATTTGGTAATTTTTGTATTGCACCTTATTCATCAAAGTAATATCTTTGTATGGATTTAGTCCTGTCCAAAGAAACATGAATAAAAGTATGATCATTTTGAGCAAACTGGAAATCTTAAGAGAAAACATTAGACCACAATTTAAAATTTCGTATAAATTACTGCAAACGTTAGACGATGTGCGAAAAGACTTACCAAATCCATCAACAAGCAAAGTGTATTGATAAACCAAGTCCATGCATAAGTATGGGATATTTTTATCTTGAGTTTGTGGAAATACAGATTTTACATCTGTTGCTTTTGTTTGGCAAGCAACTTTAGCTGCATTTAAGTATTGAATTGGCTTTGCTAGGGCAGATGGAAATTTGGTATCAACAATGCCAACCTACATTGCAAAATGGAACACCAAAACTTAATTAATTAGCTTATAATTAAATTGTAGACAAAAATTAATGATAATGAACATATAATTTATTAATTACTACAGTGTTGTTTGATAGGGTGTATAAGAATAGTGTTCAGTGTAGTGTATTAGTAATACAAGTATTTGCAATGCTTATATTAGTTATGTTGAGATATATTTATTATGCCGTGTTTGATTTGATGTATTAAAAATAACATGCATTGTATAATTTCTGGAAAACAAAATTGCTTACAAAAATACTCTCTCCATATCCATATATGGTGGAAAAGACGTGAAAAAGGTTAAGGGAAAATTTTCTATCTTTAATCATGCTAATTCATGCATTAAATTTTTGTTGTATATATATATAGAAAAAATAATTATTACCTGAGCACCAATATAATAAAAAAATGATGAAGCATGAATAGTCTTTTGTCCATCACCACCACCACCATTCCACACTCCATTGAATGTGCAATTCTTGTTGTTGCATTGAGCTTTGATTCTAAGTGCTTGTCTAGTTAAGTTCCTACATTTCTTCAAGCTGCTACCTTTTTTTGGTGCTTTTACTTTGTAATCCACTCCTCCATATGAATAGTAACCTTCAAAATCATGTTGTATATATAATTACCATTTTATATCGAATCGAAATTGGTTACAACTTGTGACTTTTGATTTATAATATATACCTTCATATCCTTCCAAAGCACAAGGATTACTTTCATTTCTTGAAGCCTTGAAAATCTCAGCTCGTCCTGCTAGTTGTCCATAGTTCAAATAACTACATATATACATTAAAATATAATCAATATGTTATAATTATTAAATACACTAAAACCTTATTTGAAACAATATTCATTTAATTAGTCTCATTCCTAACATTTGGTAAATTAAATACAATCAAATTAAAGTAGAGTTAGTATTTTTAGTTTATTGATTCTAGATCACAATTCTTTTTTACTTATCGAGTTACTAAAATCTGAATAGATTATTTTTATATGTTGCGCAAATACAGAGTTTAAGTCAAAATTACTTGATTCCGTCAAATTCATAATTATTACTATAACGAATATCAAATATCGGATAAAAAAAATATAAGAGGAGAAAACAAACCTATGTACATAGAGGTTATAATCTTTTGACATAAGATGCTTTTGTAGAACATAAGGTTCTCCATCCACATTTTTAGGAGCATTTGCAAATTGCTCATTTGATATAGCATATGCCATTTGGATTGAACCACCACCAATATCAATTGTTGCTGAGGTACTTTTATAATCTTTGCCCAAATTTCCCAATAAATAATTCATTGCAACCTATTAATAAGAAAATATACCAAAAAATTAAAAAAAATCAACTTGCTATAGCTCATGATTAAATAAAGGAAAAATAGTCAAATATGTCATTGGGCATCAATTTGAGAAAAGACTCATTTATGTTGTCCGGTTAAAGTTTGGTTCATCTATGCTATTTCTATTTGAGAATAGACACATTCATGACATTATTTGTTAACTGAAAACAATTCAAATTTCACAAAATTATTTTTTACATGTGGTCAGTTATGATTCAACCTTGTCATTAATTAAATCATTTTTTAAAAAATGGCTCAAATATGCGATCAAACTTTGATAAAAAGGTTTATCTATGCCATATGTTAAAAGTTTGGCTCAATAATTATGCCATTTCAATAAACAAATAACTACATGGATAAGCTCTTTCTCAAAATTCGATGGTATATTTGAGTTTTTTCTCTTAAATAAAAGATTTGCCACTCAAATGTTATTTCTTTTGGAACCCTCATTAAATCAGTCGTCCTTATTCTTTAGGTGCGTATGAGATAAATTTTGTTATATGGAATAACTCGTAAATTACACAAAAAAATAAAAATTACACAGAGTAATGAGCTCAACTGAAAAAACATTGATAAATTATTTAATTTGTTGTAACTTACCCACATATAAGAGCCTTCTTGAGTACCATCAAGAATAGTGACCCATTGATCTTTGCTATGGAAAGTGCTTTGGTTCTTCACTAAATCTCTCACCTTTCAAAATTAAAAAAAAAATGACAAAAAAAGCTTTAGTTAATAAAGTAATAAAAAGAGGATTAATCATTTTTAACTAAAATAAAAATAATTTTTTAAAGTCAATAATATATATACTGCTTGTAGAATTTTTTCAGCTGCATCCCCTTTTAACATCCTCAAACCTGCTGTTGCCTATATCATTTAAATAATTCACATAAGAAAATAAAAATTAATAACTCATTTTAACATATGTGTAATTATTAATATTAATCATCAATTAATTAATTAATTAATTAATACTAACCCCAAGCTCTAAGGGGGTTTCATATTGTAATTCTTGAGGAACAACTCCTTCAGCTCCATCTAAAAGTGGCTCTAGTGAATTGGCTGCAGCCTTTGGATCTTTTGCATATGAACTTAATCCCGGATTTGTCTGTAAAATTAAGATAAAATTAATTAAATTTGTATCATAAGATCTAATATTATAAAAGACATATTTGAAATTTCGAGTTCATTAATTCTGAATTCTAGAAAAGATAATACTAATAATACTCCCTCTGTCCATCTTTACTTGTCCACTATATACTATTTCGGGATGTCCAATAATACTTGTCCAGTTTATAATTAAATCAATGAATAATTTGTCATTTTGAGTCTATTTTACTTTTGCTATTAAGTACTGTTCATTTATCAATATTTAGATGACTTAAATATTTAATAAGGGTAATTTAATTAAATTACCTCTATTATTTAATCCTTCTTAATCGCTGTATCAAGTCAAGAGAGTACTAGTGTTAAACAAATTTTACTTTATAAGTTACGTACCTAAAAGATAAAACCATTGGTAATTAAATCTACATAATAAGTCAAACTAACTACGTGTAAAAAAAAACTAATACAACAAGTTGTATATTGCACTCGTTCGGAAATCATGATTGTCTTTTCAAGGAGATTATCTAGAACAAAAATGTGCCTAAGGTTAAAAATAACGAGAAAACTGATTTCTATCTATTGTAGTGGAATGTATAGATAGATATCAGAACTATTTACGGGTACGATATATAACTTAAAAATCCATAATAGTATGCGTCTAGTCATATTTTGTTAGTTCAATGATAATATTCACAGTTTATCGCGAAAAAAAAAAAGACTAGTCAAAAATATATACATACCTCCATGAAAAACTCAATATTGTTGCCAATAGGAAGAAGTCCTAATTTTTCATCAAAACGAAAAACATGAACTCTACTTCCAGTACTTCCAGCATCAAATATTACTGCATAATGTTCTGATTCATGACTTAATAAATGTCTTCTCAATGGAATTTGGGCATTCACATTTTTGGATAATAAACTTAGGGGCAAAACCAAAAATATTGCCAAAATTGTGAAAATAAAATGACTATTTTGGTTCAACATTTTACCCCTATTTGAAGAGATTTTCTGCATGAAAAAAATAAACAAGTTATATAAATATATAAAAATCTATGTATTTTTTATGGTATAATAATATTGATACAATCAGATTACTTAAAAGGTAATTCCAGGTTGTTGTCTTTAATAAGTATTGATTGATGTGAACATGATATGCATATATGTATAGACTATCAGAAAATCATTAATTTTGAACGTCCAATCAAAATTCATGCTCTAACAAAAAAGGTTTG